ATATATATATTTATATATTTGTGTATATTTGTATATTTATTGGAGTGGGGTGCTATATGTAGTATTGTTGTTCTGATTTGTATTCTGTGTATGTGTATAGCTAGCGCGCTGTGTTCAAGACGTACCAAAGTGGGATGATTACAAGGATGTAGCGCCTATTATCGCTGTGTTCCAGCGTATAATGCAGGTTATTGCCAATAGTACCTCCTTTTCATCTGTTTATTCTACCGAAACCAGAAATATTCAAATTCGCCTTGGACATTGCTCGAGGAATGAACTATCTGCATCACTCCGGTATTGTACACTTGGACCTGACACCAAATAACATCTTGGTAACCGAAAATAGCAACTGCAAGGTGAGTGTCGATATCACAAGCGAAGGCAATCCATGGATGTCTTGATAACTACTGAGTCGTGTAAAGGATATATGCGTGTGTCTTTATCTCATGTACACGAAGCTTTGGTGTGCATAGCTGCAAAAATAGTGCTATATCGAGGGAAAAGATCTTATATATGATTTAATCGCTCTGTACTAGCCTCGGATAGTAGGACCTTCTGTACTCACGCACAGTCTTATCCATATTTTCGGACACCTTTACGGCACCGAAGGTTGGTGATTTTGGACTGAGTAAAGTGATGTCGACGAAAGCGCACGGAGAGCAAACAAACGGCGGCACGGTGGTGTACACAGCACCTGAAGTATATAAGGGTGAACGCATACGCACTCGCGTCGATGTATATTCATTCGCCGTATGTCTGTGGCAGCTCTACTACAGGAAAATGGTATGTGGCCGCAGAGTACATCGTGAATGGTTGTCCTCCACGTATGAACCACAGATGAACGCGCAAGACAATTGCTTGTGTGAGTTTGTTTGCATATAGAGTTCATGGATCTTTATCGTCTGCTCAGTTTATGACCAGGAAAGGCCTTTATTCTCTCAATCTTGTGTATCAGCCATCCACTTTTGGCTGTCTGATGTCCATCGGCAGTGGAGAACTGCGCTGTGCCAAAGTGTGTGTGTGAGGTTTGGGCTGTACTGTTCGTCGGCACTCTCACAGCCGTACGGTGATATCCAATGGATCACTAAACGCTTCTATCTCAATATAGGAAGTACTTCTATATCTTGCACCTACCCTCCCCCCTCCCCTTTTGTTTTGTTTTTAATTAACTAAAAGCACGCACACTTGGTGTTGTGTTGAGTCAGGCTTACGTATACCACCCACTCACCTTCCTGCTATGATAAATACAAACCAGTGGAGCTCATACTTCATCGGTGTCTCGTACTCCAACCCCCCTCTAACGTTTTGCACTTCTACGACTCACAGCCGTACGAGAATATGAACCAACACGCCATATGCTTCAATGTGGTGGCTTATAATAAACGACCGGACTTCGACGAGAACAACCTGCCGCCCTTCACGGATCTGATCAAGACGTCGTGGAATGGCGTTGCCAGGTTACGGCCCACATTTGATCAGCTCATCAGGCAACTGGAGGCTCTGCAACGCACACATATCAACAAGAAGCCGGTCCGTGCGAAGAGTGATATAGGTATGTCTTAGAGTGTGTGCGGATAGTTAGGTAGGCATGTCTTAAGTAGTGTATATATGTGCGAATAGTGATATAGGTATGTCTTAGAGTGTGTGCGGTTAGTTCGGTAGGCATGTCTAATTAAAGTATATATGTGCGTAGAGTGATATAGGAATGTCTTAGAGTGTGTGCGGATAATTAGGTAGGCATGTCTTAAGTAATGTATATATGTGCGAAGAGTGATATAGGTATGTCTTAGAATGTGTACGGATAGTTAGGTAGGCATGTCTAAGTAAAGTATATATGTGCGTAGAGTGATATAAGTATGTCTTAGAGTGTGTGCGGATAGTTAGGTAGGCATATGTATGTAAAGTATATATGTGGGTAGAGTGATATAGGTATGTCTTAGAATGTGTGCGGATAGTTAGGTAGGCATGTCTTAAGTAAAGTATATATGTGCGTAGAGTGTCATTGGCATATCTGAGAGTGCGTGTGGATAGTGAGGTAGACATGTCTAAGTGTATGTGTGCGAAGAGTGATATTGGTATATCTGAGTGCCCCTGTGATCCGTCAATAAGTGCACTAGAGAGGTGCACACAATCCATAGACCCCAACAGCATTTTATGCCAGAGCCCAGTGACCACTCACCACATTCTGTATATCCATCACCTGCTCATTCACATCAATGTATGATCGGATTGCCGGTGTATTTTAGTTCATATTGCCACTCTAACCGCGCCGTCTTGTCCCCACACGGCCATTAGGCTCATCCTTCAAGGGTCCGAGTTTCATCAGAAGAGGCGGCTCTATTATGGATAAGGAGTCGGGGCTGGGATCCGACCCCAATGAGTGGACGGTGGACGATGTTGTGAGGTGGTGCCGCAACTGCGAGATGGACGATGCGGTGGAGGTCATTGCGGAGAATGGGATTAACGGTATGAGCGTGTACGCCTCGTGGCCGTGTCAACTGCACGTGTACTTGTATGTGTGCAGGGGTTTAGCTAAACCCTAGAACCCTAGAACCCTAGAACCCTAGAAATCTAAACTAAACCCTGGTATACATGTCGGCGTGTCTGTAGTAAATTTCCGGGTGCTTACATATTGGGGTATTTGCCCTGCTGCTGGCAAGTTCGAATCCGGGTAGTTTGCGCTTCAGCCATATTTGGTACTTAAGGATATTAGATGTGGGATTAATAAAATTGTGAATCAGTAAGGAACGTATATATATGTTGTACGTTTCTATTGGTAAGATACATACATACATACATACATACATACATACATACATACATACACACATACACACATACACACACACATACATACATACATATATACATACATACATACATACATACATACATACATACATACATACATACATACATACATACATACATACATACATACATACATACATACATACATACATACATACATACATACATACATACATACATGTACTCATACGAATACATCGTCTCTGTATCTTTATATACATGCGCGCTCGTGTCCGCAAGTCCGAAGTCATAGCAATATTTGCGCATGTGCAACCTTCTTCAATGGCATACATCCACAACTACCGTCATGCGATGACGCCTGCAACTCCCTAAACTCTAAACCCTAAACCCTATGCTCTCTACCCCTACTCTACCAGGGCAAGTGCTATTGAGTCTGACGGACAAGGACCAAGTTGCCCTGGGCCTCAATAAGTTCGGTACGAGGAGAGGCTTACAAATAGAGCTGTCGCGGTTAGTCAGCAACTGTATAGAGAAGGGTGTGTCCATGCACGCGTATTTATATACACACCACGGAGCCATCGCGACCCCGACGCCAAAGGCACCCAAGCAGCCGCGGGTGGACCTGACTCGTGCCAAAGTATGTGTCGTCAGATCGGTGTATGGGTGAGAGGAGGGTGGCTGTGTTGGTTGATATGCGATGTACGTGTGCGTATTTGTGCTGGCCAGTGTGAGTGATCGTATGAGTGATCGTGTGCGTGATTGTGTGAGTGTTCCTATCTGTTTGCCCGCGTGTATGTATGTTTTGTGTTGGAGTGTCTGGTGTGTTTGCCTGTGTAGTTGTCTGTGTGTGTACGGGTTGAAATCCTGATACCTCACCTCCGTACCTTTCGGAATCCAATACTTTTTAGATTATGTTTTGCAGTTCAACAGGACAGCGTGAATTGTTATGTCGACTTGTCATCTATAAATACAGCACAAAATAGAGATATCTGTATCTGTATACTTTTTTCTTCGCTGTACGCCATGTTGCTCCAGTCGTAATATATATATATATATATATATACATATTTATATATATATGTATATACATATATTTATATATATTTATAAATATATAT